TTTCTATGAAGCCACAATTAGCTATAGGGAGGATTTGGATCTTCCTGATTTAGTGTAATAAGGTTTACTTGTTAATAAAAAGAACAAACATTCGTGTAACGGGGTTTTTATTTAACACTGGTATTTATTCAATGTGCGGAATGTGCGGGTGTAACATCATACATTAGCAGTTTTCTGCAGGTAGTTTCTAAATTTGTAGAAATCTGCATTAGTTACATACCGAAATTTATATATACACTGGTTGTGGGGATGGTGATGGTGGAAAATTTAGTCAATGAACGTCTTTTTGATTAATAGTAGCGATAATAAATCTTTATAGGTTAAATGAAGGTGAAGAAGATTGTGACTTTGTAATAGTCATTTTAAATCTGAAATCTTTTCTATTCCTGGAAATTTGTTGTCAGTAAACAATGCTGATCTTATTTATATTGCTTAACTTTATGGTGGTAGTGTTATTTAATATTTATACAGTATTATATAATGATTCCACTAGTAGTAATGAAATGTTAATTTGATAAAGTCAATGAAGAGTAAATAATATATTAGACTGTATAACGAAAAACCAAGTCTATGTATTAAAAACATTCAGATAAAGAAACATTATATTAATTATTTTTCAACAGCCAAAGAAATTAAATATCCATTGATTTTAAACTTTACAATTACCGGATACATTAACCAATCCGTTCTTTATTTTGGTTGGGTAGAATGTGGGTCATTATATCAATCATGGTAACAAAAATTTTTGTAATTCTGCGCAATTATGTGGTGTTTAAAGTTAATTAGTATTAGCATTTCTGCTTAAGAGTTTATTTATTTTATTTTTTCTTGGCTTTAACTAAGCTTGGATTTTTTTTTTTTTGGAGACAAAGAGGTTCATATCTACTTAATCAAGCGTGGAAAGTTGTTTAATGAAAAAATTTTTTCTCCATAAACTTTTTAAGTTCACACCTCCTCCTTTAATCTCATTTATCCAATTTCAAAATAATAATTAAAAATATACGCACACAAATATTTATATATTACAACATAATAAATATGCAACAACAAGAACCAGCTATGACAACAGTCATCAATAATGCACTTAATGAAGGAAATTACGATACAGCATGGGAAGAATACTCGAAAGGATTGATTGCCTATCCAACAAATCCAACATTATGGTACAATCGATCAGTAATTGATTATTTGAAAGGATTCCCGGAATTAGCAATAATGGATGCAACAAGATCATTGAAATTATTAGAAGATGAAGTAAACAAGAGTAACAATGAATTTGAATTGTTGACTATCAAAAACTTTATTATTAAATGTTTAGATTTGATTGGTAAATCGATGGGGGATGTTGGAAGTTATGAGAAAGGAACTGAAATGTATGAGAAGGCAATTCGGACGTTCGACGAGACAATTGAAAATTACAAGGAGAAAATAATGATGGATGAAGATTTTAATACTGGATCTCCGATTAATGCTAAATTAACAAAGTTAGAAAATGAAATCAACTTGGAGTATTTTCAAGAACAAAAAAAAATTTATCAAAAGGAATTAGATTATAAGGTTGAATTGATGAAAACAAAGTATCCAACACTAAATGAAAGTTTCATAAAAACATTCATGGTTAATGTATCTTTTAAATTCAACGGAAGCTATCCCTGGGACAAACCTATTTCTAATAATAATGAATTACAATACCATAATTATATTGCTGATGAGTTGAGAAATGATGATCATATTACATTGTCATCAATCAATTATGAACGTGATATTGAAATTTCTGAAAATAGAAAATATCAACAATTAGCAATTGTTGCAAAAAAGAATATTCCGAAGGGGGAAATCATTTTCCAAGAAATTGCATTTGTAAGTGTTCACGAGTCCAGCTCATTGAAATGTGATTATTGTCACGTACCTTTAAATCACAGTTCCAAGATTACATGTGAAAATTCATCATGTTCTGATATTTTCTGCACAAAAAGTTGCAACACTTTAGCATTACAACTGAATCATTCACTATTATGTGGTAATATTTTATACTATTCATTTAAAAATAAATTATATAACCTATTACAAATTGGCGTAATCAATAATATTGTCTATTTTGAAATATTATTGATGCTAAAATTATTCAGTATTGCAAAAACTAGAGATGTGTGTCCTTTGGATATTCAAGAAATCAAGTATCTCTCAAGATTCAACCGACAAATATCTTCATCAAATGTTAATATTAATAATAAAATTAATCAAAAGAAAATAGAATTTCCCGAAAGGATTTTTGAATTGTATCAAGATATTTTAGAAATATTACAGATTTCAATCCATGATCTACAATACGATTTCTGGATTTTCTTAACAACTTGGAGTATCATCAAATCAAATCTTATTCAGTTAAATCCAACTTTTCAGAATGAAGTAGTAGGGATTTTTACTGTTTCAGGACTTCTCAATCACTCTTGCACAAATGCCAATGTAAAGGTCAAAAATTTTGGATTGGGATTGAGCGAGACCAAATTAGGTTATGGGATAATATTAGAAACAACCAAGGATATTATGAAAGATCAAGAGTTATTTCTAAGTTATTGTGATGTGAGCAAAATTCCAAAAGACCGAAAAAAATCTTATTTATTAAGATATTTTGGATTCGAGTGTAGATGCTCTGACTGTCAACAGTACTAATGCTATATCCGTTCCTATATTTATATTATAAAAGTCACTGCTGCAATTATTTGTTTAAGCATCTTATTTTGCTCGATTGCTAGAACGTAATATTATTTAAGTAGGCAGTAGTATAGTAGTAATTGCACTTAAATACATATGCAAGCTACATTTTGTTGTTTAATAAAATGTTAATTGAATTCTTTTAATTATTATTCTTCTAATTAAGTTTATTTCACTTTTATTATTAGTGTTACCATTATTACTATCATTATCATTATCATTATTCTTATTTATAATAATTGATGTAATTAGAATAATAAAAGATATAAATAACTATTAGAAAATATTCCCAAAACGTAAACAATTTCGTTCTTGTTATCAGGCAGGTATCTACCTACCTGATGTTTTTCACGTGTCTGAAGGACACGTGAAAAAAAAGATATTGACTATAGGAAGTATAGGTATCTCCTGCCTGATAAATGAATTATAATAAATATCCATATCCTTTTTAGAAAAACAATTTGTCAAGTGAAAATTGATGAAAGGAAAATACCAAACTAGTCATTTTTATCATTTTTATCATTGTTATATTATCATTATAATAATCGTGGCACATTTGTCATACCTGGCCAATAAATCTTTTAAAAAAGATGGATAAATTTGATACAATAGAAAATTTAGAAATATCATTAATACTAGGAACTATTTCTTCGACCGATAATAATGAATTAATAATAAATACAAATATAAAAGATTCATATGAATTTGTATCAAATATTATTAATGGTGATTATAAAAAAGTTTTAATTTCTGAAATTGCTCAAAAGTTTTTTGGAACAAATTTATCAACAAGAATTGACGATAGCGATGAAGATAATTCAATAAAAAAGTTTATAAAAACATTAGATATATCTGAATTTGTTTCAAGTAGAATCAAATCATATTTTAAAGAAATTAAAGGTGGTGGTGATGATGATGATGATGATGATTTGTTAATAAAGAAACAACTTGAATTGATGTGTATTGCAATTAGTTGCTTAAGCATATATGTACAAACATCTTATACTGGACCCACTAATGATCTAAAACCAATTGATATTCTTCCAAAAACAGCAATTATCAAAGATGATAATAATAATAATATCTCAAAAGAAGAGGAATTGTTAAACAAAAAATCATTGAGTATTTTGGCAGCAAATGGCGAGGAGGAGGCTTATCATTTAACACCATATGCTACTTATTTATTGATTGCTAGGACGATCTTGGTTGAACATGATTATTTATTAAAAGATTTGAAAACTGAAAATTGGTGGGCTTTAAGAACTTTATTTCTTCAACAACGTATACTAGATGATGTTGTTGGTTCATTGTATGATAGAATGATTCAATATTTTGATTCATTAGAGAAAAATTTTTTTAATTCTTTATCGTCGTCATCATCATCATTATCTAATATAACTACTGAATTAAAAATGAGATTTTATTTAGAGCATGGACTTGTTTATCATTATTATTTTAAAGATTTTTTATCTGTTGAACAATTTCAAAAAGCTCAAAATTTCAGTGGACTTGAATGGAAACTCACAGGTGCATTAGGAAAAAGAACAAAATTTCAAACATTTGATGTAACCCAGTTATTAATTGTTGCAAATAGTAGTACTGGAAACAATGATGGTGATGATATGGATGAAAAAGAAGAAAATAAAGATAAAAATAAAAAAATTCCTAATAATCTGCCACTTGATGATGATACACTTTTAGAAAAAATTGAACTTACCAAACAAAACAACAACAATAAAAATGACGAAGTTGGTGATAAATTTGATCTAAAGAACCAAAAGAATCTTAAAGTGATAGATCAATGTATTTTATTGGCCTTCTGTTTAAATGTAAAGAATATTAATCCATCTCATGGCATAACCACAGAACAGATGGTCCCATATGTAACACGAGTTCTTGAAAATCCAAACAATTGGATGGTATACACAATGGCTCTATTGCTTAGATCAAGGCTGGAAAAAGAACATTCACGTACAATGGAACGATCTGTTTTACAACTTCAAGCTCTTGTGGATCAATTTCCATTACATGAACTATCAAGTGTGAAAGAACGTATATTATATTTCTATCAAATTTTAATACCATCGAAATGGGAAATTGAAAGAGAATTGGCCATACAATATTTGTCATTAGGTGTTGTACGTTCAGCTTTACAAATTTTTGAAAGATTGGAAATGTGGGAGGATGTGATAAATTGTTATATTATTCTGGAAAAAGAAGAAAAATCCAAATCAATAATACAACAACGATTACTTGTTACACCAAATTCACCCAAATTATATTGTTTATTGGGAGATATAGAGAAAAATCCAAAACATTGGGAACACGCATGGGAAGTATCAGGAAATCGATATGCAAGAGCTATGAGATCATTGGGAAGTTATTGGTATAAACAAAAAAATTTTATGAAATCAATAGAATGCTATGAAAAAGCATTAAAAATCAATCCGCTATTTGAAAATTCATGGTTTATTAAAGGATGTGCAGCAATGCATATTGAAAATTGGGAGTTGGCTATTGAGGCATTCACACGTACTATTTCTGTTAATCCTGAAAACTCTGAATCATGGAATAATCTTGCTACCATATTTCTAAAACAAAATCGAAAGTTTGAAGCTTTCAATTCATTTCAGCAAGGATTGAAATTAAATTATGATAATTGGAAAATATGGACAAATTATATGTATACATGCGTGGATATAGGTGAATTCAATGAGACAATCAGAGCAATGGAACGTATAGTTGAATTAAGATGGAGAAAAGACAGGGATAATTGTGTTGATATAGAAGTATTAGAAATAATAGTTAATGCAATCACAAAAGACATTAAAGATATAAATAAATCAGATTCAAGTAGATTAGCACCAAGGCTGGAGAAACTATTAATTGAAACAATAACATCAAAAATAACATCAAATTATGAAGTGTGGAAATTGTGTTCAAGATTTTTTTATTGGAAGAAAGATTATAAACAATCATTAGAATCAGAATTGAAAGCCTACAGGAGTGTTTTATATGATCCAAAATTAGAAAGCTCAGAACAAGTATTTCATAAAGTCTCAAAGAGTGCATTAGAAGTTGTAGAAGCGTACCAGAATCTTGGCGAGTTGAAAAGTCAAAAGAAAAAATCGATCGATGGTAAAGAAGTTGTTGAGGAAGAGATGGTTTGTGAAGATTGGTTGTATCAAGCTAAAACTTTATTAAAAAGTTTAATAGGTAGAACTAAAAAATCTTTTGAAGGAACTGAAACACATGATCAATTAATTAAAACTTTAAAAGAGTTAAAATAATTGTAAATTGTAATTGCATTAATAATACACCTCTCTCTGTATCATATTATCATTATAATGTATTTTAAATATAAAAATTATACAATGATTACAATATCATTCGATGAATTATCAGAAATTTACTTCATCTTAAAAGGAATTGATATCCGATATTACTAATAAATTAATATATTAGAAATTATTTTGATTAAGTGACCTGATAATCATTCACAGAATTCCCAAACATATATCTCACTGTCTTTTATAAGAATGTTAGTGCTTTTCAAAGAATTAATCCTTTTACCATTAAAAATAAGAGATGGGAGAGACTCCCATTATATCTTTAAAATCGATGTTGGGACTGATGTTTGTGAAGTATATATAGATCTCTCTGGGCTTAATTGCATGTTCAAACTTTAAAGAATCGTCCGATCTTTATTTAGGGTTCACCGATCGTCAATTATATAATTTCCAAATTTGGATAGTATGTAGAAAATCTTAAATGACAAACAAACCTTATCGACATTTTATAACATAATTTGTGTTTTCGTTCAGCAGTGATGATGGTTGTTGAGACATTTTCAAAGGTTTTAATCGTGAAGAATTTAAGAAAATTTTTAATTGTTAGGATTGGTAACACCTTTATTTTTTTGGAGTTTAATGATTTATTGTTGAACAATTTTATTATTGTTGTTCGATTTCATCATTTATTTTAAATGTTTTAACATACAATTTTATTATTTTTATTATTGTTGTTCGCTTTTTACCTTTTCTATTTTTTTTTTTTGGAAATTTGAATTCTTAAAATCTATATATATCGCGTGACTTAAATACTATTACCATTAAAAATCCTATTAACCCATCAAATAAAAATTGAAGCTAGATAGGGAAATGTTGAATGCTTATCTGAAAAAAATAGACACAGTCTTCGATAACTATTATTAATTCTACAAATCTATTGTTGAGATGATTTAAAAAAAAACTGTTACACAGTGAGTCTCGGTATAGCGGATAATTTGGGCAATTAGAACAAAAATTTCAAAAATCCGTTATACCGAGATTAATTCAAGTAAATCCGTTAAACCGAGAGAATTTACTTATAGACGGTTCTGAGCTTTGATCCGTTAAACCGAGAGTTTTATTAGACATCCGCTATACCGAGGTCCGCTATACCGAGACTTACTGTGTAGTTCCGCTATTTATCGCAAAAATCAATCCGTCATCCAAAAAATACATCAGTTGGATTTTAATTTCATCGAGCAATCCGGATAATCCGTCAAATTGAAGGGATTAGAATCATAGTAATAATAATGATCCACCAGCCTTTTAAAAAAGCTATCCGGCTTTTTTACATCACTATTACTATTGAGACTAAACCACATGACAAGGTAATTTTTGAGCCCTAATGGACAAACAAATACTAGTAAAACTCCAACATAACAAACTTCTCTTTTATTATTATTAGTTTCTCTCTATAATGAATGTCTCTCTCTTTATTACAATAGCGAACAAAGGCACAAAAATACTTGTATGATGTGACAAGAAGTTTGAATTTAAACAAGATATTTTGTTACTTTTTTTAATAAACAATATGTTTAAACTTTTTTGATAGATAAAATCGAGTTATCACGGTTATCATATGTATAATTATACTGATCAAATTTCTCGTAATATTCAATCGTCAGTCTTTCGAAAATACTGTTTGATGGAATTTTTAGATCCTTAATCATTAATTTGATTAATATCGATATATATATTTTTTCAATAACGATTTTTTATTTAAAAGTATAGTACAATAACAATAAACTTTTCTCCATTAAATAATAAGTTCATACAATAATAAAATAATCCTGTAAAATTTTAGATTAAATAAATTCAATATAACAACTAGAAATTATATTATTATTTCCAACCCTTGCCCTTCCAACCTTTCCAACCCTTGCCCTTCCAACCTTTCCAACCCTTACCCTTCCAACCCTTATGTTTATGTTTATGTTTATGTCCAAATTGATGCTTCATAGCGTTATTAAGCAAGAGACCACCCACAGCACCTGCACCTAAACCCAAAGCAGTCTTACCCAATAATCCTTTATCTTGTTCACCATGCTTATTACCTTGTTTATCTTTTTTGCCACCACTGGCGCCATGATATTGTTGCTGTGGTGCAGGATATTGTGATCCAGGATATTGTGACGCAGGATATTGTGACGCAGGATATTGTGACGCAGGATATTGTGATGCTGGATATTGTTGTGGTGGTGGGTATTGTTGTTGTGGTGGGTATTGTTGTTGTGGTGGTGGTGGATATTGTTGTGGTGGTGGTGGATATTGTTGTGGCGGTGGTGGATATTGTTGTGGTGGTGGTGGATATTGTTGTGGCGATGGATATTGTTGTGGTGGTGGTGGATATTGTTGTTGTGATTGTTGATAATAATTAAATGATTCAGAAGAAGAAGTTGGAGGAGGCGGATAATTTCTTGATGTTTCAGAAGCAACAGTAGTGGGTGGATAATTTGATGGCTGAGGAAATTGATGAGAAGATTGAGGAGAAGAAATTGATGATGGTGGTGATTTAATAGAAGTAGTAGCAGGGGATATAGGATATTCTAAATTTTGTGGTTGTGGTTGAGCTGGGTATGGATCAGCTGTTGGAAACCCACCCACACCACTAGTAGTACTTGTGGTATTTGAAGAAGGCGTCGCTAATGGATGATGCCATTGAGTAATACCAGTTGTTTTATCTATATAAGATTGATATAGATGGATTTATAAAAAGAAATTAGGAACTTTCAAAAACAATTTAATTTTGTATTATTTCTTCTCTCTTTAATTAATAAAAACGATGCTGGTTACTTACCAATATAATAATAACTATTTGAATTAGGATCAAATTGAGATACCCAACCTGGTGGTAATGGTCTTGGATCCATAATTTTTTTTAATTAAAATTTCAAAGGATTTTTAAAAGAGTATTTAAATAATTTTTTTATGCCAAGAAATAACGTATCATGTTCATCAATGAGATAAATATAGAAAACTGGTTTTATATATTTTTTTTTTTTAATTTACACTATTAAATTACAAAAAAAAGAATTCCTAGTTAAAAAAGGGAAATAATTGAATTATTGAATTGTTTGAGTATGGATGTGAAAATAACAAAACAATTAATATGACAATGATAATAATAATCAAATATTCTTTTCTAAATCTTTTTTAAATAAGTTAAAGAAGGAAAAAGAAGTGTAAAGAAAAAGTAAAGAAAATAAAAGAGAGAGTAAGATAAATTATAATATGTACAAGAAGAAAAAATATCAAAGAAAATAAAATAAAAAATAAAATTTATATATCATATATTCTTTTATTATTTAGCAATAATTTTTAATTCGTTAACGTGTTCAGTTAAACGTTCTTGTAATTTCCTTAAATGCTCAACAAGACTTGGCATCACTTCTACTGAAATTCTGAAATCACTATACTTTTTTTCTTTTTTCTTTTTGTTACTTGTTGTTTTTGTCGTTATTTTTGATGATGACGATGACGATGATGATAGTGAAAATCTTTTCGCACGATTATTATTAAACATTAATTTTGGTTTTTTATAATGATTTTCTTTATGATCGTCATCATCTTTGTCGTCATCGTTCTCATCCTTGTCATTGTCGTCATCATCACCATAATAATCAAGATTATTAGTATTATTGGTATCGTGATTATTATTGGCCATTTCTTTTTCAATAATTCTTTTCAATACTTTTAAATGTCGCTTCGACGGTATATTCTCAATGTCAACTTCAACATGTTTCCCACCACCGAACACTGGTTCACGGTCTTGAGCTATTTCCGACAAATCGATTATAACTGCGGCTTCTTCCCAATATTCTTTAAACATACTTTCAAGACTATTATATTTTTTTGCATCATTTGATAAAAATCCGTTTGACCATCTTCTTCGCTTCATTTTTGATTTTATTGTACAGGATAATGTTAATTTGTCGTCATACAAGGTTTTTAGTTCTACGCGAGGTGATTAGGTTAAAAATATTTATTCAATGTTAATTAAAAATATTAAAACATTACTGCTAATTTCAAAATTTAATTACTAGTATAAATAAATACCTTCGATTTGTGAGACGAAATCTTTTATGGTATAAATATCCATTTTTAAAGAAATCTGAGCATCTTTAACAGAGTTGGGAACATTCAATTCTAGATCATCCAACACAAAATCATTATCCCAACTTTCACTCGGGGTAGCTAAATAAATATAAATATAAAATCTCAATTAAATAAATACAAAATGCAATATATACACACATATGTATGTATCAATATGTACATACGTTGCCTATAAAAACTGGGAGATAACTCGCTTAATGGTATTGGAGGTAAAGATTTACAACGATGGTGATGTTTTAATGGTGTAGGAGAACGATTATGTTCAGGTGGTGGTAAAGATGTCCTATTTATTTTCTTTTTTGATTTTTTCCTTGATGCTGATGGCGACGATTCCGATGATGACGTTGATGACGATGAATCAATTAAAATATCATCACCACCGTCACCACTGTTAAGATTATTATTGGAATGTGTGTTTTTATCCTCTTCAACACTAGAATTATCATTCCAATTTTCTTCTTCATCTTCTTCGAGTAATATTTCTGTTAAATTATGACCATTAAGAACTGCTACATTAGTCACCGACATAGGTGTTAAAGTATTATTATTATTACTATTATTTTCATCCCATATTAAAGAGTGATTATTATTGTTATTATTATTACTATTACTATTAATATTGTTAATATTAGTGTTTGATAAGGTGGCAAAGGTGGTGACAGAACATGATTTACTGCGATCTGATAAATAGAAACTTGTAGCATCTGAACATAACGAAGAAACATCATCATCGGTTGTTAATTGATCAGGAAGTACCATCAATGATGGATGATGGTTGTGATGATGATGGTGATGATGATGTTGGTGATAATGATGATAAGTTATATTAGTTGCAGATGTAGGTGGTGTTGATGGTGGCGTTTGAAAATAATTTACAATAAAAGTTTCTGGTTCAGCTATCATTTTATCAAAAGTAACATCATCAGATATTATCTTGTTATTATTGCGATTATCAGAATCGCAATGATTGTGACGATGACGATGATGTTTATTACTTTTTAGACGAAATAAATTGAACCGTTTTTTTACCGGAAAATTATTGTCGTTAATAGTAATAGTATTAACATAATTTTTTTTTTTTGATAATGACGACGATGACGACGATAATGATGACGTTATTGATTTAGAAGGTTTGCCAAAAACATAACCTAAACTTGCAGCTGTCGTCAATGCACTAGAAGAGTATACAAGCTAATGTAATATTTTGGGTTATATTAATTAATTAATTGGATTAATTTATTTTTATTCATTTGTTATTTATTTATTGATTGATATTTATTATTATTTACTTACTGAGCTAATAGCACCTTGACCTTTTAAAGAAGACATCAAGTATTATTAATTAATTACTTGTTAAAAACTATCAAAAAAAAAAAAAGATAAACAAAAATAAAGTAAAAATCTGATATTAAATTAAAGCTTTGTGGGGGTTTTTTTTTAAGCATATGCAAATATGCGACATGTAATAAAAAATGTTTGTGTAATTATTCTATTTATCTATCTATCTATGCAATTTATTAATGATAAAAATTTTTTTTTAATTTTTTTTCAAGAAGGAAAATTGTTTTTTTTATATTAACAAATTTCTTTGGATTTTCAAGTTTCACACGATTTATATGCGGCGAGAGAAGATACTTACTGTTATTAGTAAATCATAAATAATCAAAAATCCAAATATTTTTTATTTATGTGTATGTATGTGCGTGTATCACTTCACTTCACTGCAGATGGATTTACAAAGAAAGTGAGGAATTACAGAAGTGAATGTGTTTGTGTATGTGTGTATAAGTGCGGATGTAAGTGAGAGGAATTTAATTAATTGGAAAATTGAAAATTTTATTTATTAAAAAAATGAAGAAAAACACATTGAATGGATTTTTATAATAACTGAAAAATAGGAGCTTTTCAATGCGAGTGAATACAATTATGCAAAGTGACCATTATTATTAATTTATATTATTATTTAATATTAATAAATTCCTATTTATGATTTTCTTCTTTTTTCCTATAATTACATTTATCGTTACTTTTTTATTTTTTTAATGATATCATTAAAAAAACAGATTTTCAATTTCATTTTTCGCCTTTAACAAGTCTTTTTATAGAAATGATCGAAAGGAGGAATTTCCGTTTATTTTATTTATTTATACCTGGAATATATTAGTTTTTTTTCTCATAAAAGAAGGGGTAAAAAATAAAGAAAAGCAAAGTTAACATTGAATCATAGTATCCTCTCCTTATCATACTAACTCCTCTTAATGGTAAAATAATTACCATATTTGAAGTTATCATTATGAAATTGTCGATCTTTACTGTTTTGTCAAGAAACCTTATTATTATTATCCGTTATTTTATGTCGTACTGGTCGATCCTCAGTTTTTGTAAAAAAAAAAATGCTTGATTTAATGAATGAAAAAAATGATAATGAAATTATCAAAGAAAAGGAAGAGGAGTTTTTGTGCAAATGGGGATCTTGTAAAGAAAAATTCCAATCAATGATTTTATTATGGAAACATGTTGAACAACATATTGATAATACTAAACATAGATTTGTGCGTTTATTCACTGATGATTATGATGAAGAAGAAGAAGTAACTAATGCTAATGCTAATGCTACCACCACCACCGCCACAACCACCACCCCCATCCCCATCACCACCACAGATGTTGGTATATTAAATTTTATTTTTGTTGGCGATGATAAATTCTATTTTTCATTTTTAAAGAAATGTTATTTATTTGATTTCATATCTAACCTTATTAGAAAAAGTTCTTTCATCACCACCGTCCCATCTAATAGATGATAATAATAGTAATCAAAAAACTAATAATAATAATAATAATAATAATAATAATAGTAGTAGTAGCAGTAGTAGTAGTAACAATAATACCAATAGAAATAATCGTTTTAACAACAAAAATATTAGCATTATTGACAATAGTAATAGCGACCATAATAATAATGCCAACAATGATAATAATAGTAATGGTAATGATAGTAATGATTCTTCTACTATAAAAGCGTCGTCGTCGTCGTCATCGTCATCGTCATCACCATTAATTATTAAACAAGAAAAGGATCTTTCACCACCAGTAATAATAATAGATTCTTCAACAGATGATCCGATGGGAAACAATGACAATGATGCTGACGATGAACAACCTAACAACGATAATAATTTAGTATTAGTAGAGGATAACGATGAAGATCCAGCAATTAATAATAATAATAATAATAATAATAATAGTTTACTACTACCTATCAACGTAAATAATACGAGTTTTGATTCATTTTATCATCATTCAAATAATAATCCACTACTACAACGCATTAATCAACCACAACAGATAAATCAGCAACACCAACAAATATTTCAACTACAGCAACAATATATGTATCAACAACAACTAATGCGACAGCAACAAATCCAACAGCAACAGATGCAACAGCGACAGATGGAAATACAATTATATCAACAACAGTTGTACCAACAACAACTGTATCAACAACAACTTCAACCTCAATCCCGACTTCAACAACTCCAATCCCAATCTCAACAAGTGTTACTGCGTCAACAATATCAACCATCTGTAAATCAACAACAACAATATCAACTTAATACTCATCAACCTCGACAACAACAATCACTATCTCGACCCCTACGTCGACAACAGCAAGGGCAACAACAACAACAGACTTTTTATCAGCAACAAATACTGCAACAAGTACAACAAGTACAGCAAATACAGCAAATGAAATCAATATATCATACGCAACAACCACAACGTTTTCAAAATCAAGATCAAGATCAAAATAATAATAATAATAATAATAATAATAATAATAATAATAATAATAATAATAGCAGTAATAATAGTAATAATAACAGGGTTTGACTTTTTATATACACGAGTGGTCTGGAGATAGTGATTTAATTGAAAAAGTTCTATTTCAATTTTTCAAGTAAACTTGGTGAGTATATATACCTCCGCTAAGCAAATAGATTATTTTATTTAATATAATAAAATCATTTTGAGAATATTTCGATTTTTAGACTCTAAATATCATTGTGGTTCATAAATTTCCATTTTTGTGATGCTTATGAAAATAATGCTCTTTAAGGTTCTTTATATAGAAATAAAATATTTGAATTATGGTACGTTACACTCCTTTGTTTGTGATCAAACCATTTTATAAATGAGCAAGCTTCTATCTTTATTACACGACATTTTTGATTGTTTTTATTCAGAGAATACAAATACCAAATAAATTAAAAATTAAACATAGATTGCATAAACGAATTAGGACATTTTATTAACAAAAATGTTACTGGATTTCCACTTACACACATGTCATCCTTAAATATTTTAGGAAACAGCCCTTTTTATAATCTATTTATAGTGTGTAAAACAAAACATGTTTGCATGTTCAACGAAATTTAAAAATTTTATTATTTTGTATTTTGTATATATATACATATACATTGTCCATGAAAAATTTTGAATTTCAAATTGCCAGAAATTTTATCGTTCTTTTTGGTAGAATTCATATTTTTTATTTTTACGAAAAAAATTTTTTTTAACGTTAAATTATAAGTAAATATATATATATATATATAAAAATGGGACATAAACAACAGCGCGCTCCTCACGGAAGATATATATCTCATAGAATTTACATTTATGTAGTGGCCGTATCCCTGGCATTTCTGATATTCACTTATTCGCCTTATTTCAATCGAATATCGTCATCAAAAACCAATCCAAATTTTGATGATGATGGTAATATAGTAGTTCCTACAATTCCAGATAAAGTAAACACTAATGGAACTGTAAATTCAAGTGGACATTATAGCATATTATTTGTTATTTCTACAAAAATAAGTCATACACGACATAGAAGGGCATTGAGAGAATATTTGTTTGGAATTCGTAATAACCTACAACCTTGCATGCGTCAAGATGGTGATGTTTATTATAAATTTCTTGTAGAACCTTACGATGTTGTTCCGAAATTTTTTTTACGCGATTTCAGAGCTGAATCTGTTGAATATGATGATATTGTGGAATTTCCAAACCATAAAAATGAAAGGTGGCAAGACATTGTTTTAGATTGGGTAATTATTTGTGTGATTGTAATTTATATATTTTTACGCTCGTATTAATGTTTTATATATTACTTTTAGACTCAAAGTCTTGCCAAAGAAGATATCACGTTTGATCATTTAGCAATAATAAAAGACACTACAATTATAGATTTACAGAAACTTAAATTGGCTTTAGAATCTTCAGTGATTAACGGACAATACTTGACTAATGTGCAAAAAACAAATCTGGTATGGGGTCCATTTGAATCTTTATTGTTGGACGATCTAGCTATTATACTCGGCAGCAATGCTATCCCACTCATTATTGAATCAAAACCTGTCGTTAGAACTGCCGGTAAAAGAAAGGATGAGTTAGTAGCCCGGACTTACCACTATTATCGCAAATATCCTGCTAACACTGATTTATTCTTTGTTAATGATATTGTGGGATTAATGGAATTCCCCAATTCTGTTGAAAATATCCCTGTTGACACAACAATTGCTGTTGGTGGTGTTTACCTTGAGGATGACTTGAAGGATGTCGCAACACACCTTTCCATCAAAACCACCTTAATCTGTCATCCCAACCATAATCATCCAAGAATTGCAGTAGTCACAAGTAGTTTTGTTTACGATAATTTGTGTATGCTTCCTGTTGCAAAACCAACAGCTGACAACAAAAGGTCTTATGCTCAACTACATGACTACTCATTTGTTGGTAGATCATATGAATTCGCTCAACAAATCTACAAAAATCGTAAAACCGTATGGGGTAAATTTGATGCAATAGAAAAAGTTTTACCTTACTATGATTGGATATTTTGGCTCGATATGGATACAATCATTACAAATAAATCAGTTAGCGTCGAAAGTCTTTTGGAAAAATTTGTAAATATGGTTGGTGGCGAAGAAAATTTTAGCAAAATAAATTTGGTTGTTGCAAGACCTGTCCATGATAAAATGATAAATGCAGGTGTTTTCCTGTTAAGGAATTCAGAATGGAGTAGATCATTTATAAGAAAATGTCAATATCGTACTGATCTCTATAAAGGAAATATGTATGAGCAACGCGCAATGTGGGATCTTATGAGAGATCGTGAATGGGAATCGGGTGTAAGTTATTCATTCATTTATTAAATTTTTGTGTATTTTATTTATGTGCATAATATTTATATTTATATTATATATATATTTTTTTTAGGTATTATTGTTGGATCAAGATGACCGTACTTTTAATACTTTCCCTTCACGGTTTATTAAAGGAGATTTTGTTGTACATTATGCGCCAGATGGTTGTCCATCAAAACCTATGTTGGATGCTATGGGTAAAGTAAAATTGATGGAGGAAAATCCTGACGCTGAAATATCACTGTCTCACGGACCAGATCATTAATTAATAAACTATGTATAAACATCATATTGGACTTTGCAATCACAGAAATATGCAATCAAACTTTTTAATAATAATATGATTAATAAGTAGTTCATTTTTTTTTTTTGTGAACAAGCAACCGTATAATTTTACAATAGATTTAACAAACTAATACGTATATTTTAATAATATTTTATTTGACATACGGTATAAATACACACTTAACATTAAGTTTTATTATTTTATTATAAAAAAAAACAATTGGAAAAATAATTTTTTTGTACAAAGTTTTAATATAATTGGTTTCTTTTTATAATATAATATATATAATAAAATATACCGAAATTTATAAAGAGAACCTCAATAAAAATCACATACATAATTGGTCCTATGACCATGCTGGTGGATAATTTATAAAAACAATCAATTGTCCTTCTAAAACGCACATTAATATAAAAAAGTTATATTGAATTTCAAAAAATTTCGCATCTCTATTATCATCCCTCAGAAGTAAAGATCTGCGCATCCGAAATGATGATCTAATTGATCTTCTTGATCTTCAATCTACATGAGAAATAGTTTTTTAAAGAATGAATTTCAAGCAGGGTGATAATTCAATGAAAAAATAATCAAATTAGAGCCATCCATTAAATTACGAATTTCCCGAAATATTATTATGATGTAATATTAAAATAATTAGTATTTACTCGCACATGAGTTGTTTATTTAACCTTCACCCACGTGATGCTTCTTTTTTTGATTCAAGACCAATCAATGTTCCTTAAGGCAAGTCTGCCAATTTTTGGTCACTTTAAGCAATCTAAAATACTGCTGCTAGTTGAAACCTAAAGATAGTTACCACGTAAAAAATATTTATAGAATAAGTAAAAGCGAACGTGATTCCCAAATAAATAGTTTCCTCATTTTCCATGGACGTTTTACGATTGAAGATAGAAGCTCATAAGACAAGTCTGCCAATTTTTGGCGATCTAATACGTAAAAACCCAATCTTTATTATCATGTAAAATTATTACAGCATAGAGAAAACGTGATTTCCTTGCTTTGCTACCATGTACGTTTCTCATTTGCCATTGAAATTGTTCAATAAAAACACCAATAGAAATTAAATAAGTAAAAATTACTTACATAATAACAATAAAAGTTTCATTGTTTACTCATGTACGTTATAAAATGAATTTTTTTTTGGTTGCATCAAATGTTCTAAAATATTCTTATTATTCTAATACTAAATAAACATTTCTATTTTTGAAAAGTTGTAGCCAATATCGTGAAAATTGTTCAAATTACATTTGTTCTCATGTTTCCCAAAAATTTCAATTAATTCATGAATAACAATATAAATCAAATTATAAAATAGAATTTAAAAACGGTTTGTAAGAATTGTCTTTAGCATCCAATAAAATTGGTATGGCGCCGACTTCATAACAAAACAAATAACAAATAATTAATAACAAATAATAATAAATAATAATAAATAATAATAATCATTTGCATGTTACACGGTCACTAATATTAATATATATAAAGTATTAAAAAGTATTAATATCATTTACCAAATTTGGAAGGTACTAATTAGCTTGTGCTCAAAAATACAGTCCTTTATCTTTCATATCCTTCCTTGACTTTAGTATATGCAACACTATAAAGAAACTAACAAGGTAGTTATTCTATAATTATTGTTAATTTTATTATATATATCTATTCTTATTACTAGATAAATGGGCGCGGATAATAAAAACATATAATATTTATATTTATATGTTTATTTCATGGATAATAGAAGCAATTAATTATTGTTAAAATGGTTTGTATTTTAGATAAGATAAAAATATGATCGACAAAAGTATTATCGGTCAAAATAAATTTCAGGACCGAAATTTTTAGTTACACAGTTTTCATTTTGACTTGTTTCTTGTTAATGGGATTCTTCCTTGGCTGCTATCACTTTTTAAATCTCTTTCAATGTTAAATATGAGTTTGCAGCGTTCTTGTAAATTTCTTACTAGCGAGAACTAAATCAGCATCTTTTTTTTATAAGCTGGCTTGGATTTTTTACTATATTCAAATTTCTTCTCATTCCAAGTCATTGATAATTCATTATCCAGTAAAGCTTTAGAATATATATAATAGTTAATAATCAATTAATATGTATGTATGTATACACGCTAAATAAAACGAAAAAAAATTTCTATTTCAATTATAGATTGAGTAGGTAACAATATATATATATATTATTATTTGTTTCTCTTCATCATAGTTGCTAGCTTTCAATTACTTATTAAACGTTTTCCTTGCCCATAGCTAATGCACTACGTGATGTGAGATGATGTGCGTGTTGCGTTCTTCACGTCATGGCACATGCTGACTTTCGTGTACCAAAATAATGATGGTGTTGCATTTTGCATTTATCAACACATTTTCGAGGTCATATATGTTTTTTATAACTCGAATTCAGACTCCGAGGTGTAACGAACATGATTACCACGAACAATTGTTCACGATCAATCATAAGTAACATTTCTTCTGACCAGGAAAAACGTACATCATGATTCATTCGAGGCACGTAGTACCGAAATAATGTTCTATGAATTGATTTTGTACGTTGCACTCGAATTTGAGAATGAGGCATGGAATGTCAAAATAGTGTTTGTGATCTGGTTTTGCGTGACGCATTCGAATTCCAGTCACGTAGTGTCGAGATGGTAATCTGCCACCCTACTTGGTGATACGTAAAAGCGTAATTTTTTCTTACCTCTTCCTTATTATCATTCTACCTTTGCGTATCATTGAGAGTACGCTATGTTTTGCGACTTTCTCGCATAGTTGTTGCTTTTAGGTATTACCTTTCCATGTCAAAAAATTGGCTTATTCTTTTGCGTATTACCATATCAAAAATCGGGATCGCATTTTTCCATATCACTTTTCAGCAAAGCTGGTATGGCCAAAAAATCGGACATTACTTTTGGGTATCACCATATAAAAAATTGATCTATACTTTTACATATTACTTTGTCCTATTACTATGTAAAAATATATATACGGAATTAACGTATTTCTTACCTTTTCAAAATTTAGTGTGAAGTACGGAATTTGTAACGTATTGAAAGGGTACGTTTTCGTTTCCACATACAAGGTACGGACGGAATTTGTAGCATATTAATATTAATACTATATTAACACTAAAAAGGTACTAGTCCGTTTTTGATTCCGCGTATAAGGTATTATTATTATTTTATTCACCAATAATGTAATTAAAATTTCAGTATTTTGGAATATATAACATTAATATCATTTTCTTTACTCAAAGTTCTTTTATATATTTAATATGTAGTATAATTCGATTGGAGAGCTTTCTAGGAATCAGCAAAAGCGGAAAACCGCTATTTTAACTTTCCTCGAAATAGACAAAGAAATATATGGTACAGTGATATAATATAATAGTACAGCATAATGTTATCTAATATATTTCTTATTTATTATTCTAATTGTTCAATGTATTTCTGATATAAGGATTTGTCTTCAATTGAAAAGATCCACCTGTATTTTAGATAGATTCGATGGATTATTACATCACGCACTGTATTGTGATTATTTTTTCATATTTAATATTACATGCTCATCTTGTTCCTGTATTTTTAGTGACTTCAAAACTCCAACATAGAAGCAAATCCTCTAATCGGATGATAGCTTGGAGGCACTGAATAAATATGTGACGAAGATTGTATTTTTTATATTTAATTATTTATTAAATCATTCTTACACGATATCATTATTTACTGCATACTGATCCTGATCTTGTTGTTTTATTATATTCTTGGATGATTTAATTCAAACAAAAAACATATTGGAATTGGTGAATAATATGTGACAAAGATCGTATTTTTATATTTAATTGCATACTGATCTTGTTGCTATTATTCTTGAGATGATTTAATTCAGCCAAAAATTGAAACTTTGAGTTATAAATGAATACAAAGATTATATTTTACATCTTATATTTGTCACTTTTACATAACATTGTTTTTTATTACATACTGTCTTGTTATATTTTTAGATGATCCAATGCATCAATCTTCAATTAAAGCGTATATGAGACGAAGACTACAATCTTATATTTGATTATTAATTGTTTTACACGTTCGTGCTATACATGAAATCAAATGGTCGAAATTATATCATATCACAAGAGAGAGAGAACCAGTGATCCAAATTTAATGAAACACGGCTCATTAGAATATTTTCATAAAGGCGATTCGAATAATGGTGTTTTAATGTTCACAGCATTGATAAATGGTGAGTTATTGTAAGGTATACAGTAAACAAAAATATCTCACTGATTAGTGATTCGAATTTTGTGTATTACATTTCATTAGACTCGCCTCATTGAGAGAATTCGAATGGTAGTTGTTTTATCCAAAAAAGCCGGATACTGACTGAGTTATGTGACTTGAAGTTTTTGATTAGTTTTTCTGTAATTTTGACCATTTTGACCTTCAATTCGATTTTTGGGCTTTAATTTCGACTTATGTATACTATTTTTTGTATTTTATTTTTAAATTTACGTTTGCAAAAGTATAGATCAATAATTGATATGATATGCAATATGATCCAATTTTTGATAGTGATACATAAAAGCGCAATTGGATTTTCGATATGATGATACGTAAAAGTGCAATCAGTTTTTTGATGTGGCGATATGCAAAGGTATGATCCAAAGTAATATTGTAAAAGTATAGATCAATTTTTTGTATGGTGATACCCAAAAGTAATGTCCGAATTTTTTTTGGCCATACCAGCTTTGCTGAGAAGTGATATGGGAAAAATGCGATCCCGATTTTTGATATGGTAATACGCAAAAGAATAAGCCAATTTTTTGACATGGAAAGGTAATACCTAAAAGCAACAACTATGCGAGAAAGTCGCAAAACATAACGTACTCTCAGTGATACGCAAAGGTAGAATGATAATAAGGAAGAGGTAAGAAAAAATTACCCTTTTTACGTATCATTTAAAAAAATTTTTTTTATACCTCTGGTTCAGTCAAGCATTAATCAATGACAAGCATTGCTAATAATAATAAAAAGATTAAATAACTAATTAAAAACTGCATGAAATACCTTGCCAAACAATTAAAAATCATACAGCAATAAAGGCAATAATAAAATAATACCTGTAAACCATCATTTAAAAGTGCAACAATCAATCTATAAATATCCTCATCTGAATTTGGCTTAAGACGTTGTTGAATTTGATCGACCACAGTTTCCATTGCTAAAGATAGTAAAGGAAATGATGCTTTTAAAGTAGACATTATATCTTCAACATGTTCCCATGGTTGCTTTATTATGAGTTGGGTTGTGGTGCAATCACAATATTTGGCAAGGTATGTTGATGATGAATTGGACTCATTCCAGGTGATTGTGTAATAGGCGATCTTCCTGTTTCAGCAACTGTTGGAGTTGTACCTTGCATATTACTTAAAGAATTAGCAAACAGTTTTCCATTAGATAAATGATTAATGTTTTGCATATTTTATACTGTGATATTGTTGGAAAGAGTTGGAGGCGTTGACATACTTAGAACATTCACTCTTGTATGGCAAGACTTTGAGGTTGAGAAGACATTTGATTCGATTGATTGGTATTAACTTCAAGAATATTAATTTGAGCAGATGGACTTCCTTGATTAGAACTACTCTGTCCAACATTTTTGTGAGATTGGTTGTTGTACATTTCCAATGTTTGCAATATTAGAACCAATTTGTGATGTTGAAGAAACTCAGGATTGTTAATTGTGTTGATGATGCTGGATTATTAGCAATAGTTGATGATAATTGTGCTGCACAAAGCTTGTGTTTGAGCAATGCCACTTGTTTTTTCACCAAAAAATATTCTTTTGTTTTTCTTAATTGAAAATATAATGTCTAAAAAAAATTCTTACATTCATTAATAACTAAACATTTATTTATTTTCTAAAATTGAAGAATATATAACTCACTTGAGGATATTGTTTAGCAATTTTCATAAGGATGCCACGAGTATGTTTTGCCTCTTTATGTATTAGGCGTATAATAAGTTGGGGTGTAAAGGTTATCCAACACCATACAGGAACCTCTGTTTTATTGAAAAATGTCTCAAAAACAATTGAAATTGTTCCTTGTGCCTCGTCAAAAGATAAAAGCCACAAGATACGAATTACTATATAGTTGTAAAATAAGATCTGCAAAAAAATATAGGATTTTCAATGTTTACGTGTTTTGTTATTTTTTCTTTAAAATATGTCAAAAAAAATTAGATTAACAAACGCAAAGCTCAAATCACAAACTAGTGATTTCTCATGTAGCGATGATATTCTAATTTGGTTAAAAGATGAACTTGGGTATCGACCGGGACGTTCCACTTCTTTAATTGACGATAATATGGAACAACCATTGAAAAAGGAAGATATACAAAGGTTAAAAAATTAATCTTCAATGTATTAATTTTTATATTTTGACTTATCTTGTATGCATATATTTTTGCCTTATATATAGGCTATGTAAAGGTGAAATTTTGCCAATATTAATGTTTTCATTAAAACACATCAAATCAAAAGAGTAAATATACAAAAATTTCATATTATCTCTGTTTAAATCATTATAAACATTTACTAAATAAAAACATGTACTTCATTAAAGTCACATAAGACAACTTCAGAAACCAAGAATTGTGTAAATGTCTAAAACATATTTGATTTTAATGTTCAAATTTTTATTTTATAACTTAAAACCATTAACATTTAAATTTTTTGAATGAATAGTGAACCAACAAGATTACCTAAATCAAAACGTAAACTAAGTTTCGAACATAATACTATACGTGGTGCACACAATTCAACCGCGAAACCAACCACAACTTTTGATTCTATTGATGCAAATGAAGAAAGCCTTTTACAGCGTAAAATAAAGCTTGAAAAGTATTTGATAAAAATTATTGACAAAGTACAATCAGATAATCAACAAATTGAACAGTTGTTGTCTCGCATATCTGATTTTGGTAAATATATTTATTATCCATATTCATGATTTATTGATTGATTGCATCATTGATAAAGTTGTTGACTTTAAGGAAAAACTATTGCTGTTTTCTATGATTTAAAGAATCACAAATACGATTTGTAAAAGATCAGATTTTTGAGAAAAAGAATAAACTGCTTGTGAAAAATGCCTTTCGTGAAAAATGCATTCAAATAAATCACAGTGATGCCAATTACCAGAGGCTTTTGAGCAACTTTAAATCTAGGATCACTTTAAGAGATGAAATTGATACAGAGTCAAAAGAAAACGAGAGAACAATATTAATAAATACACATAAAATCAAGATTAGAGAAATCTGTGATAATCATAAATTCTTGGTTCAAAATACTATATTAAGGTTTTTACTTTTATTTACAAATTTCCTGTTACTATGTTGTTTTTATTAGTTTAAAATTGAAATATATGAATTTTTTTTATATAGCAATGAATCAACAGATCACAGATTAAAAAATGAAATCTCGAATTCTATTGAGGTTTTTGTATTTCCATGAAAGTTGAATGTTTGTTTGTTTCTTTTTCTTTCTTCTAATTAGTCATATATATATATTAGGCACTAATTCGGTTGATATCACCAAAAGTATTGCTAGAATCGGTACTGAGTGTAATAAGATCAACATCAAAAGATATTAGGTAAAAAATTTTTTAAAAAATTTATTTTTTCTATATGGCCTTATGATCAATTGATTGTGATAATTCTTGACACTTTCAATATTAGCCGGGTAAAAAAACAATTTTTAGAAATATATTTGAAAAGAAATACACAGGATATTCAAGATCTTGTAAATCAACATAAAGAAAATCATATCACCAAATTTATTGAAACTGAAGCAACTTACAATGAAATTTTTGCAGTGAAAGAACGTGCCAAAAAATTGCAAAATTCAATTGAGATTGCTATTCATAATCAATTTAAACATAATCCCTCTATGACTAATCGAATCATGTATGTGCCTATTTTTTTTCTTTGGTATTAATGACAAAAAAAGGTTCATTATATATTTACAAATTCATATATTTGTCTTTTCAGATCTTTAATAAAATCAAAAGTAGAATTGGAGGCAGAGAAACATACTTTAGATGTTCTTGATAAATGTGTAAATGATCTTAGACTTCGATATCAAAATGTATTATGCATAGATGATGGATTGAAAATGATTTGTGAACATGTCAATAATTCAAATGAAATTATTGTAAGTGTAAAGATTTAATTATTAGTATTTAATATAATAATTTTATGATTTTATTTTATACTATTTACTAATTTTTTTTTAAAAAACCCAAAGGAATTGAAAAAAAGTCAAATAGAACAATTAAATTTAATTAACAATCAGACTATATCCACTTTTTTCAATCAATTAAGGGAAGTATCAGAATATATCCAAAGAGTTCTTTGTCCTTTTTCTCACGATTTTGAATGGATTTACAAAAGAATTGATTGCATGATGATGAAAGAAAATGAAAAATTTCAAAAATTAGATTTGAAGATTACTGTTCAACTCTACTATGAAAAGTATATTCATCTCACTTTTTTTTCATATAATCTTCTAGACATATGTTATGTATTTAAAAATTCAAGTATTAAATTAGGGAAGGTTTTTTTTAGTGAAAATCATCATATTGGCTCTCTTGAAATTCATCGAACGCTTGATGATCCTTTTTTAAAAGATGTTAAAGATATTATTCGTAGTCCAAAGTATCTTGGCGCTGAATGCATTTATATGATGTTACGAGAACTAAAGTCCGAGTGTACAATGTACAAAAATTTACGATTCATAATGAATAAAAACTTTCTACCGCACTATTATGAACTGAATATGATTGGTAATTATTTGATGGGATAAAATTTTTTTTTTTATTACAAACATATTTATTTAATATATTATTATTTATTTAAACTTAGCGAAAAATTGGTTGTCTTCTGTACGAAACCTTATGATCGATTGCAATAAAAACGACTCTTATACAAAAACAATTGAAAGTATGCAAGTGGCTATTGAATATTTAAAAGGTATCTATATCTGTTCATAATTGATTATATATTTATTTATTATTTATAAATGTAAATATATTTTTTTTAATTATTGCTATAGATTTATTAAAGAAACAGAAAAAGGATTATAAAAATTATATAGAAAATCAGATTCCACGACACAAAACAAAAATTGATGATTTAACAAAAACCACATTTCATGCTATCCATGAAATTTTGGAAGAACGGTATGTGTAATGTTATTTTTATACGTACACGTGTGTGTATATGGTTTTTTTCCTTCTAACCAAATATTTTTATTTTAAACTAATTTCAGTAATGATTTTTTATGTAATTTTGCAATGATTTGTTGATGTTTTTGTGTTGGGAAAAAAAATCAAAAAAGGATTTCGATGTTACACTAATTGAATCGCGTTGTATATGCAGAGCGCCCCAAAATTTCTTTAAATGAATATATAATAATAAATAATAATAATAATATAAAAGGAAAATTTCGATTTCTGACAATAATGGTTTGTTTAACAGGTTATAGTTGTATGTGTTGGTTAAATAGCTCAAACAGTTTTTACTAATACTAAGTTAAAGTATGAAGAGTCCTAATTAGTATATTCAGGTGTCCTGATGTTTTATTAATTAAGTCCTAGTTATATATAGCTCAACAACATTTGCATATAGTAGAGTCCCTCTATCAAATAAAAATATTTTTGGAAGGTTTGAATCATTACAAATAATACCAGTTAAACTTGACCTTTATTAATGATCACTTTGTAGCTTTTCACCTATCTGTGGTGGTGCTGCAAATAATTTATAAATGCAATTCAGGTAATTAAAAAATTATTTTTATTTTTTTGTTTTTACATTAATATAATTAAGAGATTGATTAAAAATCTATAATAATAATGAATGAATAAATATATTTTTCAAATGCCTTTGTCTTTTTTCAAGATTAATAATAATTTGGTTCTTTATAATTCTTTAACATCAAACTACTAACAACTACAGTAGTAGAACTAGCAACCATAGCCAAACTAGCATATTCAGGTCTTAAACCATGTTTGAACAATGGGAAGAATGCACCAGCAGCAATAGGTATAGCCAATGAGTTATAAATATAAGCCCAGAGAAAATTCAACCTGATTCGCCAAATAATAGTTTTTGATAATGATAACAAGGTTATCAATGAGGAAAGGGTTGATCGTGTCAATATTACTGAAGATGATTCAATTGCTACATCCGTTGCACTTGCAATTGTGATTGGTAGATTTGATTGAGCCAAAGCTGGTGAATCGTTAATACCATCCCCGATCATTGCTACTATTGCTTGTTTAATGATGGTAGTACTTTTAACGGTGGTACTATTATTATCGTGGTGTTTAAAGCTGAAACAACTTAAAAATTTATTAAAATAAAATAATGCCGATGAATTATGATTAGCTTGGGTTGCTGTTAATATAGTTGTACCTTTACGTTGTAACCATTTGATTTTATCAGCTTTCATTTCAGGAGTCACCTCTGAAAAAATATTATCAATACCCAATTGTTTACCAATAGCTTTAGCGGTAATGGGATTATCACCAGTTATCATCCAAACCTCAATACCAAGCGATTTTAATTTTTCAATTGTTTTCTTTGAATCGGGTCTTGGTGTATCTGCAATACCAATATTTGCCATAATATAACCATTATAAGTTGTTGTTTTAGATGAACCGATTCGTGATAGTCCTGTTAAAACCACGGAATAACCTGATTTTTTCCATTTATTCAAAATGAATGACATTGAAGCAGCCGGATAAATACAATTGTTTTCATGCATCCATTTTTCATTACCAATAAAAACTTTATATTTTGCCGAGTATTTCATGGTCTTTTTGCCATTATTATTATTATTATTATATTCAGCGTCATTGGTTGATTCTAATAGTAACAGTTCATTTATTAGAGGGTTATTACTTTGAATGCGAACAACAGCCTCAAGGCCTCTACCAGGGACTTCAGTGATAGAATCCAACTTTACGAAATTATTTGTTTTTTTACGTCGTTTAATAAATGATTTATCGATGTGTTGTACAGCAGCACGAGCCAACGGATGATCACTAGCCGACTCAATCAATCTAATGATTTCCATCAATGCCGATGATTTATATTTTTTTTCCTTATTGGAATTTTTATACGAAAATTTGATGGCCACAACTTTCGGTTTGCCATACGTTAACGTGCCAGTCTTATCAAATGCTATAGTATTAAGACGATAGGCTGTCTCGATCGCCTCGCCACCACCCTTGATCAAAATACCATGTTTTGCCGCCACACCTGTTCCAACCATGATCGCAGTAGGTGATGCCAGTCCCATTGCACAAGGACATGCGATCACTAAGACGGAAATTGCAAAAAATAGAGAAAACACTGCATTATTGAGATTATCCGTGATCCAGTCACTAGGCACTATTCCAGAATTGGTTAGTGCGACCCAGATCAAAAAGTCCAAAATGGCAATTGATATTACTGTTGGAACGAAAACCTGAGCAATCTTATCGGCTAATTCTTCAATTGGAGCTTTTTTTGATGATTGAGCTTCTTGAACCAGTTTTATTATACGTGATAAAGTTGTATCGCTACCAACACGTTCTGCCTTCATCCAAATCATTGATGTCAGATTTACTGTTGCGGTTATTACTGGTTCATCTATTGTTCTTGTAATTGGAATTGATTCACCTGTTATCATTGATTCATCTAACGTTGTTATTCCATTATATATTTTTCCTAAAAAAAAGATGATAAATAATTAATAATTAAATAATAATAATAATAATAATAATAATAATAATAATATAACTTAATTAGATAACTTACCATCACACGGAATTCTTGCGCCAGGATTTACTTTGAGAATATCACCAACTAAATTAAAAAAAATAACAAATACATTTCAATTAAAATAATGAACCTCCCTCTCCATTAATATACATCAAATATCAAGTACCTTGAACTAATTCCAAATCAATTTCTTTCTCATCAGTAACCATGTTATTTTCTTTATCGTAGGTGATTTCAACTAGTATGGCCTTTTCTGGTTGCAACTCCATTAACTTTGTGATCGTTTCAAAAGTTTTACCTTTTGCTTTCAACTCCATCCACCTTCCCAACCAAATGAACGTAATCAAAAAAATACTAGTCTCAAAAAATTGGTAGCCTGCCTCAGAACTATGTCTAAAAATTGGAATCAACACATTGATCATTGATCCTAAATATGAAACAGTCGTACCCAACGCCACCAAAGTATCCATGTTTGCTTGTCGTGTATAATATAATGATTTGAAACCCTTTACATAAAATGGATAACCAAGTATGAACTGAACGGGAGTTGCTAACAAGAAAAGAATTAATGTCTCAACATCCAGGCCAGTGATAATTTGATGGGTTAACAGGTCATTAATGGGATTTGGTTTGATCATCTCGAAAACCATTACTATCAAAAAAGTTGGTATTGCAAATAACAATGATATCAAAAATCGATTTCTTAAAAGTTTTTGTTCTTTCTCTGTTTTTTGGCGAATTCGATTTCCAAATTGCAAATCACTACTATTGGCTTTTAGCAATTGCGGTTCAAATCCAATATCACTAATATTTCTCATTAGATCACGTACACCAATTTTTGATTGATCATGTTTTATGGAAGCTTCGGTTGTTAATAGGTTAATATTTACTTGTGCTACACCAGATAATTGTAAAAGAGTTGCCTCGATGGTGCCTATACATGAAGCACAGCTCATACCACTAATTAAAAATTTTGTTGTAATATTAGTAGAATCTTCTGTTGCATAATCATTATTAATAGCATTAGTAGTATTAGTAGCGTTTTTAGATTTTTCATCAATCTCAATCTCAATTTGTCCAATTTTATTCTTATTATTATTCGAATTATTATTATTGATATTGGTTTCTTCAACGTAGTCTACACCGAAGCCAATTGAAGTTATAGAATCTTTGATTTGATCAACCGTTAAGCTATCATTATCAAATTCTAATGAAGCATTACCAGTTAAAAAATTTACACGAATACTAGGTTTTATGATTCCTGAAAGATTTTGTAGAGTACTTTCTATTGTACCAGAACAACTTTTACAACTCATACCAGATATTGCTAAATTAAGTTTTTTTATCATTGTTGTTGTTGTTGTTGGTGTTGGTAAAGGAGAAGGAAAAGAAGGAATTTTTTTATTTACAAGTGGGAGACAATGACGAAGATGTCAAGAGAGAAAAGACGAAGCGGTAAGGTTTGGAGGCGTTTTTTTTCAAAGAATTTGAAAAGTATATTTTTTTAAAAAAATGATTGTATTTAATATTTTTATTAAAGATCAAAAATCATCTTTTTGTGAGGAGTTCCTTAATATATCATTAGCAAAAATAACTCATGATCGAATCATTAAATTAAAATATTAATAAAAGAAAAGAAAAAAGGCGTGCGTTTATTTTTTTAAAAAAGTCATGTGTAAAATCCTGAATTTATTGTGTTTCGATTCATATATATTACCAATTCTGTGGAAAAATTCACTCATAAAATTAACTCATTGTTTGTTTGTGAGCTATTTTTGCCTCAGGGAAATCCCCCCTCATTAATGTCGATCAATTTATTTTCAACCGTCAGAAAATGATTCCGGATATGACTGACGAACAAACCTAATATAACAACGCTATTTATTTATGTATACTTTACTTGCGCTGCCTTTATGTCTTTTAAGGAAAGGACTTTTTATTATCATAAATTATTAAAATCATACTTGATCACTAATCAGGAATATCTATCTATGTCTAATCTTGATGACGCAACTACTAGAATAATTTTCATTGAAAAAAAGCAGTAATAGTAAATATATTATCAATGTCAATGATCAATATTTCTTTATTCTCATAAATCCATAGATAATGATTTCAGCCTGAAAAACTTGATTTTAATGGACTCTATATGAAATTCGACTGCGTCTATCTGCAGTTAATTTCCAATTTGGTTAGCGCATGCGCATATTATGCGATTGGTGACATTTTTCAGTTTTTATTCATTCATAATAATGTATTTTTTTTTACACAGAAAATAACTTTTCTAATCCAACACAAAATAATTAATGAAAGTTAACAAAAGAATACAACTCGATTAAATCAGTGCTTGGAAAGAATACTTACCATCTCTCTTTGGACCAAAAAAATGTTTCACAAAATTGATTGATTGTCAGTTTCTTTTTTCTTATCATTTATCCTTATCCTTATCCTTATCTTGATCATAAGCACTCACTCCCCCAACGATTTAATTAAAAAAAAAAAAGCCACTTGATTAAATTAAGCCTTTTTCAAAACACTTGCCTAAACAATTTAGAATTAATCCGTTATTGTTTTTGAAAATGTAAATAAAGATTCTTTCCTGACTAGTAATTTGGGAATTAATTACTTGTTGTAAAAATATTAAACAACCATGCCCATTTTGAAAATGCAAAGAAAATATTTTCCCTGCCATCAACAATTTGGAATTAATTCATTATCACGGTAACAGAATTTAAAAAATGCGCAACATTACTATTATTATTAAACGATCGGAAACACATAAACAAGGGGGACAGATTACCTTCTCGACACTAACGTGACTGGAATTCGAATGCATCACGCAAAACCAGATCACGAATATTATTTTGACACTTCGTGTCTCGTTCGAGTGCAACGTACAAAATCAATTCATAGAGTCTTATTTTGGCACTACGTGCCTCGAATGAATCATGAAAACGAAATCGATGTACGTTTTTCCTGGTCAGAAGAAATGTTACTCATGATTGGTCGTGAGCAATTGTTCACGGTAATCACGTTCTTTACATCTTGGAGTCTTAATTCGGGCTATGTATAAAAATCATATCAGACTCGAAAATGTGTTGGTAAATGCAAAATGCAACGCCGTCGTCATTTTGGTACACGAAAGTCCGAATGTATCATGGCGTGAAAAACGCGACACCACAGCACGTAGTGCCTCGGCTTCGGGCAAGGAAAGCGTTTAATAAGTAATTGATTATAGCGAGGAGAAACAGATAATAAGCAAGTTGAGCGTCAAATGGGTATCAAAAAATAGGTAGGTAACAGCCTAACATAAGTAGGCAACAATATATAGATATATATATTTGTTTATCGATTGCAATATTCCTTATATTGGATTCTCCTTCATTTCTTCTAATTACATCATTACTTTCTAGCATGATTTATAAACACCATTCTCTAGCAAATTTAACTTTCTTCAGACAATGGACAAGCCTCAGTGAATGCCAAATATTTAATTTAAAGACAATATATATATATATGAGATCAACAAACTCTAATAAAAAGTCCATTTGAAAGTAATCAGGTTTCAACCACTTTTTCCAGATTTCTAACTGAATCCACAACTGTGGATAAATTTGGAATGATTTCCGAACTTTTATTAGCACACTCCAAATCCTAATAAACAAATAATATTGTTTTAATAAATACCTCACATATTGGTTTTACATTGAAATAAAATTAGGGGTACGTATTACTTTACCGACAGTTCATTTTACCGACAATTACTTTGCCGACAATTACTTTGCCGACAATCATTTCACCGACAGTTCATATCACCGACAGTTCAAGTTTACATGTACTTTGGGTGGAGAATGTTTAATAACTTGCAAATCTAATTCAGATACTATTATGGTTGCACTAACAACTATATTAAGAAAAACGTTTTAGTTAATTTTTATTATAAAACTTCTTGCAAAGTTATTTTACAAGTATGTCAAATTTAAGTCTTATATACAATTAAATTAATTGGTAACAACAATACAAAACAAAACCATTCACACACATCGCATAATCAATAAACCCTTTAATATCGTTGATAAACTCACTGACACTTTAATACATGATGTGGAAGTGAACTGTCGGTAAAATGAACTGTCGGTAAAATGATTGTCGGTAAAATGAACTGTCGGTAAAATGATTGTTGGTAAAATGATTGTCGGTAAAGTAATTGTCGGTAAAGTAATTGTCGGTAAAATGAATTGTCGGTAAAGCGATTGTCGGTAAAATAAATACGTCGGTAAAGTAATTGTCGGTAAAGTGAATGCCTCCCAAAATTAGAATCGTATAGTTTGTGTCCATTAATAATGAGGCCATGCCAGATTTTATCAAGCAAATATACATAATTAATAGGAAACCTTGTATAAAAAAAATTACAATATTGAAAATTTCATTAATTGATCTAGGTGACATTTTCATGAGATAATGATCAATAACTTATCTAAAGTAATTATTGTGAAATTTTCTTTTTTTCTTCTGTTTTGTTAAGTTTATGTTAAATAATATTCAATTTTTACCGTTATAAAACCTTTTTGGACGAAATGGCAATTTGTATCGAACTGTGATGGTATCATCAGTAAAATTTAAAGATGGACTGCACGTATGTTTGTCAATGATTTCCAATCCTCATCCTCGTCCAACCTATATTGTTATCATCATTATTATCATCCTTGGGCTTAGTTCACGTACATTGAAACTCTGTATAATTTGACCAATCTCACGTGGAAAAAGTTGTATGACTTTAATTTAATAAATATAGATCAGCTTTCTACTTGTGCACTTGCATTTTTTGCCTTCAACAACACTGATAGACAGTGGTTTAATTGTTAAAGTTTTTTTTGATTTATTATCATGATGTTGACATTCAGCAAGAGAATTTGTAATCAAGATAAGATCAATGAAATTAATAATGAATGACCATCGAGTTTTATGTTTCACAACCTTTTTTTTTTTAAATAAAATGTCAGAGACCTTGTCCAAAGTAAATCAAATTGTCAACGATATTAAAAAAGTAGCGACAATAAGTAATGAAGAAAAAACACGCGAAAAATTGAATAAAATAATTGAAGATGGATTTGACAATTTACACATTATATCTGGTAAGAAGAGAGTATAACGGTTTTATATAATTTTTTAAAAAGTGTTTGATAAATAACAAACGTAATTACCTTTAGACTTTGATGCAACAATGACTTCGTACTGGTTTGATGATAAAAAGCGGAATCCTAGTTCACATTCAATATTAGGAAAAAGCGAACGTTTATCTGATCAAGTTTGTGATTTTCAATATAATTAATTAATTAATAATGTCATTCATACTAAAAGTTGAACAATAATGAGTGCCATGTAATTTTATGATAAGGAAGTTCAGGGCCCGTATCAAAGAAATAGATGAAAAATATTATAGTATTGAGATTGATCCATACAAGAGTAAACAAGAGAAATTACCATATATGCTTGAATGGTGGGGAAAAGCTCACGACCTTTTAATTGGAGAAAAAATTAGTAAAGATGATGTAACTAGAATAGCAACCGAAACACCTGTGAAAATGCGGCCTGGTTTAGATTCGTTAGTTAAAACATGCAGTGAAAAAAAAGTACCTTTACTAGTGTTTTCAGCTGGAATTGGCAGTAAATAAATATATTTATGTTTTTTTTTAATAAGTTCTCCATTATAATTTTTTTTTCAATTAAAATTTTATCATAATATAATATAAAGATGTTATTGAACAGGTCTTAAGAAGCAAAAATCTTTATGATCAAGATAATATGCATATTGTATCCAATCAAATGGGATTTAATCCAACCACTGGAATATGCGATCGTTTTGAAGAACCTTTGGTACACATATTCAATAAATCTGAGGTTGTGGTTAAAGAAAGTCCTTATCACGCTGCAATTGAAGATCGAAGAAATGTAATCCTTCTTGGTGATTCTATGGGAGATTTACAAATGTCTAGTGGGATTAGCCATGACGTTTCTTTAACAATAGCATTTTTAAATGTTAGAATAGATGAACATTTAGATGAATATCTAAAATCTTTTGATATAGTTATGGTTAATGATGGCCCAATGGATTGTGTAAACATTATTCTTTCCAACATAAATTAGTAATTTGTTAATTGTAGATTTCATTTTATTTACTAATTAATGTTGTAACTTTCCTATTTTTTTTATTTTCAAAATTAAACAATTAAATAAATAACAAAATAATAATAATAAAACAAATAAATAAATAATAAATAAATAAATATGTAAAAAGTTTTCATTCTAAAATATAAATTACACTAATGGTTATTATTTTTTAACTTTGTAAACGATTAAATATTGAGGAATAGATGCTTCTTCTCTATATACAACAACTTCATCATAATTTAAGTTACCAGTTTTACTTGGTTCACCTAATATTGAATTAAAACCTGGTGGGGGTTCAGTTAGTTTCATATTATCTTTAGTTAATTGATATCCTTGTCCAACAACAACTTTATTCAATATCATCACTTTGTAATTTGAGCCTTGATAAGTTTTTAATGAAAGTCTATTATAATCATCGGATTTGGATGATGTTCCAGAGAAATATATACCTCTGCCAAATCTTTGAAATGCTGCACTTATTGTACCAGTTCCCACATATCTCAACTTGTAACCTTCTTTTATAATACAACAAACAGAACAACTTGAATCTTTACATACGCTACCATCATCTGTTAAACCTATATGGCATACTCTAAAAAAATATTATCAAGGTTAATAATAAATTTAAAATGATAATAATAAAAAGTAATAATAAAAACCCAATTGGTACAAACGTTTTTGTTCCATGAAATCTTCTTTGTTCATTTCCTGCACTCATTTTACGTTTTCCGCCACCTTTTGGAAAATCCTTACCAGCCAATTTGTGATGATTTTCAACTTCATCACGATATACATTATACCGATTATTTAAATTTTCTGAACAAAAGATTTTCCATATAGCAGTAATTTCCGGTACCTCTTTATGAGGATGTTTCCAAGCAGCTGTAAATTGATTAGTTATATCTCTGTATTTTTGACCATCTGGTGGTAATCTCAATAAACATGGTGCTAAAAAATCCCAATTTAAATATATTAATAATGTTCTTGTCGTTGTAAATGGACAAATGTAAAGCCGTGACTCAATTTACTAGAAAAATTTAAAATAAATATTTACCCTTTGTTTTAATAATTACTTCACAACCATCAGAACAAAAGTCACTTCCTACTAATGCATTTTCCCCTTTACAATTTATACATATTTGGTCACTTCTTGGATTAATTAAAATTTGCTGGTTTGGTGTTTGATCTATGTAGTTTGTTGGGCTCCAAAGTAAAGAAGGGTTTGTTTCTATTTCCTTTATATAATATAAAAATACATATTATATAATCTACCTTATATATATATAAAAATAGTTATTTATTTATTTAAATAATAACATTCAAAGTACCTTGTAATAGGGGTTTCGACAACTTTTCCAACCGCAAAATAGTGAATTGGAAACTTGTGGGTTTTCATTACATTGAGTACAAATAGCACTTTCAGAAACTGCAGCTTTTCGACACTCGTCACTACAATATTCACCAGGAAATCCATCAAGATCAGTATCGACTTTCTCGGATTTACAATTGTGACAAAATGCATCTTCTGGAGGCGGTTGTAAACTTTCTTCAAGTATAATATCAATACCATAATCTTCAAACTCCTGAGGAACTTTTGTAACATACTGAGACAGCACCCTTTTTAAACCATCAGCATTTTCGGCATTTATTGGAGAATTTATTACTATTGGATTTGGTTCGTAATCAGATATTGGTATTTGTAAATCTAGTGGATCAACTTCTAAAGATATGTCATCGATTGGTGGATTGAGTATGTGAGGGTTGTATGTTTGTTGTATTGGCGGGAATGGCTGTGAGTATGGTGTTTGTTGTATTGACGAGAATGGTTGTGAGTATGGTCTTTGTTGTATTGGCGAAAATTGTTGTGAATATGGTGACTGTTGTATTGTCGAAAATGGTGGTGGATATTGTGGTTGTTGTATTGTCGAGAATGGTGGATATTGTGAATTTATATATGGTTGTTGACCTTGATTTGTCTGAAGTGGTAGTAATAAATTATTTGGGACATATTGTGATGTTGGTTGAGGTGTTTTTGGAAGTGGTTTCTAACGAGAATATTAATTAATTGACGAAAACGAAATAAAAAAAATTTTAAACTCCAAAAAATAAAACACTCACATTATTATTACTATTACTATTACTATTACTATTACTATTACTATTACTATTATCACTACAGCAGTTTCCCATTATGAATTAGATCACTAATAGATTTCTACACATGATTGGTGATACACGAATTAAACTAAAATGACAAGTATAATATACCTATCTACCTTCTTCCCCTATAATAAATATGCAGAACTAACTTTATTAAAATTAAATTAAATAAATTTAATTGACGATCTATTTATGAATGAGTGAACCCTAAATAGGGATCAGCAGAGGAAAAATTACAAAATTAACTTACTAATTGACAACTCTTGTATCAGCGTAACTATTTAGTCATATGTTAGGTCAAGTTTAGTCAAGTTTAATCAAAATGATTATTACTAAATTAGGTTTTTAACCCCTTTACGCTGCCGGCCCTGCTTTGTATGCTATACTTTAGTAATAATTTTTTTATTTTACGTTATGTAACAAATGTTAAAGAACATTATATATATATTTTAAAGAATGAATATCGAAAAAGGGTCTACTCTTGTAGATGTAGAGATGCGCGAGATTTTTCGTATATAGATGATTGACTGTCAATTAATTATTTTAACAATCAATTATTGATTGGTCGAAATTGTAAAGTATCAGCCCCTGTAACGTTTTGTTTACTTTAGTCACTAAAATCCTGAACCCATGTTCAGATCAAAAAAAAATTTTTTTTTTATTACATGTATAATAATTTAAAAAAATGATTTCTTCTTTACTTTGGGTTCGCAAAGGTGCAGCAGCAGAAAAACCTGAAAAATATGAACTTGATGATAAAGAATTTGAAAGAATAAGTAAATTTCCTGAATTTAAACCAGAACTCGTGAAAAAAATTGATAATGAATCAAAAGCAATGTAAATTCATTTCTATTTATGCATTTTAATTGTATATAACGAATAAAAATCCAATATTTTATTTATTGATGATTAGAATTAAAGATGATGAAGAAATGAAGGATGTTAAAATGATGGAGGAAGAAGGTAATGATGATGATGAACTGGCAGAATATAATTTAGATAAATATGATGATGATGATGATGATGATGATGATGATGATGATGATGATGAGGGTAATGAAAATGGATCTTCTTCTAAAGGTATATTTATATATATCTTAGAAATATTTTAATATATCAATACTAATACTGATATTGATGAATGGGTAGGATTGTCAATATTTGGAAATGTAAAGGGATTGGCATATTATACTTCAAATAAAGAAGATCCTTATATAACTCTTAATGATGATGATGAGGTTAAATTTACATTTACTTTCTTTCCTTCTTTCATTCTTTCCTTCTATTCAATTATTATTATTGCAAATAATAATTGATTGATGAATTCTTCTTAAAGGATGAAGATTCTAGTGATATAAGGATATTACCAACAGACAATTTATTAGTAGTAGCAAAAACTGAAGATGAATTATCTCATTTGGAAATTTGTGTATATGAAGAACTGGAAGACAATTTTTATGTACATCATGACATTATGATGCCATCATTTCCATTGTGTTTGGAGTGGTTGGATTTTAGATTGGGTAGTAAAGATGGATCTGGATCAACTGTTGATGCTCCTGGTAATTATATTGCTGTTGGAACATTTGAACCAGAGATAGAAATTTGGGACTTGGATACTATAGATTCAGTGTATCCTAATGCAATACTTGGTCTAAACGAAAATAAAAATAAAAATAAAAATGTTGATGGTGATAAAAAAAAGAAGAAAAAGAAGAATAAAAAGGATTCATCATCATCATCATCATCATCAAAGGAACCAAATTCTGAATATCATACTGATGCTGTTATTTCATTATCATGGAATAAAAATCATCGGTAATTTCAACTTTCTTGGATATCTTTTTGGTTAAATTAAATAATTTTTTGTTAAACTTTTTTTTTTAAAAAAAATTCAAAGAAATATTCTTGCAAGCTCTTCAGCAGACACAACTATGAAATTATGGGATCTTCAATCATTGAAATGTGTACATTCATTCAATCATCATAAAGACAAAGTATAGTAATAATAATTTACACATTTTTAAAAATAATTTTTTCAAGGTTAATTTAAATTTCTTTCAAACTAAATTTTTAAAAAAGGTACAACAAGTGGAATGGCATCCAATTGAATCAACTATTTTACTTTCAGCATCATTTGATAAAACAGTCTCGGCATTTGATAGTAGATCACCAGATGTTATATCTTATTGGTCATTACATGACACAGAACCAGAATGTATAAAATGGGATCCATTATCACCTAATAATTTTTATGTTAGTACAGAATCAGGATCTGTTTTAAATTATGATATAAGAAATCATAGTAATAGTATTGGTGATGCACAACAACAACCAGTATTTACATTACATGCTCATGATGGATCTTGTACAAGTATAGATTTAAATTACCAAATTAAAGGTTTATTAGTTACTGGATCAATTGATAAACAGGTTAAAATTTGGGATTGTAGTGACAACAAGCCTGTTTTGATTACTAGTAAAAATTTTGGTGTGGTAAGTAATTATTTTTATTTTTATTTTTTTTTTGAAATTGAATATTTTTTTTCTATATAAAACAAAAATATATATAATCTTTTAAAACTATTATCAACATTATTATTTTAGGGAAAAATATTTTCAACTAAATTTTGTCCAGATTCAGCATATCAGTTGGCAATGGGTGGATCTGAAGGTAAAGTTTTCATATGGAACTTATTAACAAATTCAAGTGTAAGAAATTTCTTAAATTATGATAATATGATGAAAGAAAAAGATGATGATGACGAAAAAAATATTATCGATGCAAGTATTTTTTGAATAAATAAATTTTTTTTTTAAAGAAAATTTTATATAATAAATAACTTTGTCTAATTTTCTCTATTAAAAAAAATTTTTTTTTTCAGAAAAATCCTATAACATTACCTAATGATGATGATAATGATGACGATGATGATGATGAGAATAATGACGCTAATTGGGAAGATATTGATAATGATAGTGGTGATGATGTTTAAAAAAAAACAAAATAAATGGTTTTGAATTTTATTTATTAACTTGTACGATTATATATTATTTAATAAACAATAATGCAATTACAAATTGAAGAAAAAATTGTTTTTATACTTTTTATTGCTACAACTCCATAAACAGGTATTGGATACAGTTACATATACTGTATCTAAATTTGCAAAAGATAAACTTCGTTGAATCAATATTTAACAAAAGAATTTTTTTCAATGATATCGTCCCAAGAGATTTCGTGCTTTGTTTTCGATGAACTGTAAAACAAGGTTTTAAGTGAATAAATAATATCAAAAGCATGTAGATGGACAATATTAACATATGTACCCTCGTCTATGTATCTATCTCTTCCACATATTTTGATGCCTGACGTCATTTCTTCATTGCCGATACATCTTTTATAAGATCATCTTTTTCGGGAATAACATCATTTACTTTGCGCCTTTTCACGACTATATTGGTCTTGTCTGTCAGTACATTCTCATCAACCACAGGTTCTGAAAAATAAGGTGATTATTAAATGCGTATCAACATAAAATTGTATTGTGAAAATGCAACAATGAAAATTATTATCAAAAGTATTAGTAAAAAAAGCATTGTCGGTTTTGTAACGAACACTTAATTCATAAAGAAAAGAAATAATTAAATGAAAAAAGATAATCATTCTGTTTCTGACGAAATGCTATTATACCATCAGTAATCTGTTGATGAGCTTTCATTATCGATTCCGAATTTGGGTAACGTGTAGCATAAACGCAATGCGTTCTATTCCAGCGAACTCAATAGTCTTCTCAATTTCAATTAGCACCAATTTCTGCTCGGTATGGTAACGAGTCTCAAGCTGTTGGAAACAATCTGTTGTCGTTTCCATCTTTACAATGGTAGAACAAGAAATGACGTAAATTTTGCTTGGATAATACCAATTACCCATAACTTTAAAAGCATGACGAACCAATAGTCCCCATCTATGTGTCATGGAGGCCGAAGAGAAGGACAAATTAGTAGTCGATCTCCAAGATAATTAATAGTCTCCCGAGTCCATCATCATCTTGTAATACCTCACCATAATTATAGCATCTGAAGAACAACTTTATGATATATATAATCCTATCCCAGTAATATGTCGCATACTCAAAATTCTGATGTAAATGAAATGCTTTCTCATATACGTCTTCTTGAATATAATTGTTATTGATGATCTTCTCAAGTGCTTTTTTAATATCCTCCTCACTTTATCACCCTTGAACTGCTCATATGAGCTACAATAATTAGCAAAAGCGTCAAGGTTCCATAATGTTGGTGAAGCAATCTGTAAATAGCCATAATTATTTTTATCCACTGTAGAGGTCTGTGAGACACAGCAGGGTTAGGTGATCGATGTGGCCGTAAGCATCGAATAATTTTTGTCGCTCCAAAAGGCACTCAACTATTCCATGCCTGCCTCTAAAAAAGATCCTGCTAAATATATTAGTGGATTAACTCCTGAAATTCGCGAGAGGGGTGTGGTCAAAGAATAAATTGTAGGTGAGTATTATCTTATGCACTTGAAAAAGAGAATTGCGGAATATCAAGGTCTTGATGTAAACGAAAGACTCAAATCCCCACATTGAGAAATTTTGGGTCCTCTAACGTTTATGGAAATGCGATTATAACCAAAGAGGATGAGAATATGGATGAGATCAAGGCTGAATGCTGGAAAAAAAAGTGCCGAAATACTAAGTAATTTGACGGAAGTGCTGAAATAACGAAAATAAAAGTGCCGAAAGTGCGAGTATTGCCCAAAAACCTGGAATATAAAAGTCACGTGAGATTCATTATCATATGATTTTACAATAGTTTTTATTTTATTAATTATTTTTGAACATATTTTTTAGCCTCTCTAAAACTCTGACTTGTTGTTTTTTTTTTTAATTCTTGTAAACTATCTAATAAGCGTTCCTCCACTATAAACTTTGGTACTTGTTCTTGTTGTATATAAGCAAGAAGGTTTATGCAACTTTTCAATGCATCGTTAATATTAATATGAATAATATTTTCCTCCTTCTCCTCCTCCTCCTCTTCTTTAGTTATGATTTATAGCTTCATCAAACCAAATTGCTAGAGTTTCTTCTAATTGTGGCCAATTTGCTTGCCGATTCTTTTTAAATTGAGAAGTTGAAACAGTTTCATCAACAGAAAACCCTTTGTTTGATTCTGATAAAATTACTGAAACTGTGCTTTGACTAATTTCAAAATCTTTAGCTAATTTATCTTGAGTTAAGCTAGGATCATTTTTAGCACACTTACATAGTTCTTTTTTTTTGCAAAGAACTTGAAGAACTTCTTTTTTCGGATGAAGGTGCAGAGGTTGAGATCATTTTTAAAACAAAATTTAATTATGATTTTTAATAATTCATTGTCTAATTAACCAATTATTCATATTAATCAACATTTTATTGTTTCAATTTTTCAAATGTTTTTGATTGGTTCTCTCGTTATACTGACATGTCATTATAACGGGTGTCAGTATAACAGGATAATTAAAAAAATTATATATTACTCGAAACCCGGTTTTCCTAGAGTGCCCTCCATATATAAAATCATACGGGACACGCTCCAATAAAACCGGCAAATAAATGTTTTATAAACTCTAATGTTAATATTAAAAAAACCATCTAATTTAGGTTGTATTAAATCTTATTTTTTTGATTTTAAGTTGTTGCTAATTCTTTGTTTGTTGGAATTGGAGTTGTCTGCTTTGTTAAACAAACCTCTCTTTTTACCAAAGCAATTAATGATTTTTCTTATTTAATGACATCTTAAAAATTTTGAACTTATTTAAATCAAAAAATTCAATTATACATTTTGTTTATTTCTATATACTTTAGTGCCTTAACCTTACATCATGTCTTTATTTTTGATATATTTTAGATCACGTGAATCTGTTATAGACAGTGTTGATTTATATTAATATAGTATTTATTGGTTATTTTAAAATAATTAAATTAACAAATAACAAACTTATTGAATTTACGTGTATATGCTCTCATGTATTCTAAATCTGTTAACATTTTGTTAGTAAACTTGTGAAATTTGCAATTTCAACAACTATGAAAACTTTCCAGAAATTAAATGAAAGATTCCTTACATAGAATTTTAGTAGATTTAATGCTTTGATTTGAGTTTTTAATATGAATGTAAGTCATTTACATCATTTATACTGAGTGTGCAATCAAAATTTGCCTAATTAATGATAACTCGATAATGTATATCTTTAATTTGAAACTTATAAATTGTTTTCATTCAAAAATTTAAAAAAATTGAAAATGATCGGCAAAAAATAAATGAAAAGTTGAATTTATTCCGTTATAATGACACTCGTTATAATGGCATGTCAGTATAATGGGAGAACCAATCAAAATCATTCTGATAATTTCTGAAAACATAAGGAGATTAAAACTTACATCAGGGTTGGGAATCGTACGCGTACACATGCACGTATCGTACACGTACGTACGTACGTACGTATGAGCTTAAAATTTTTTTAGTACATTGTATGAACATATCATGTGATTTATGATAATTTTTATTGGTTGATCAAATGTAATATATATGTGTAACTTTCGTCACAACGAACTATAATAATAACAGTCAGACAAGATTTCACGCTTACTGATTTTACTGTGATCGACATAGCACGTTTTCCGTACAACAGACTTTGAAGGAAGAATTAAATACAAGATTATAAATAAACAATTTTTATGCTTCTAAATAAA